CTTTCAGTGGACAATAATACAACTAATTTTCAAGTTCTAGTTAAGTTATGTCTTTTTAAGATACCATTTTGTGGTTGGACATACTTCCAAAGTGTTAGTGGCCTCAATTGTCGAATTATGTACCTAAACTAAACTTTTGTGAAATTTAAGGTTGTAACATAAAAGCCAAATATTTAAATGTGTTCTCTGTGTTTTTTTGTGTAGAGGAACAAAACATTTATTTAGAGTAGACAATTATTCTACTTGATTGATAATTCTCAAAACTGTAGCAAAATCTGCAAATAAAATTCAGTGTTCTAGTGACTCTCAAATTTAGCACTGGGACTTCATACTGGGAGAGACATCTGTAGTGCTGAATACAACTGACGAATTTGAAATATTTTGTAATCATGTTCTTACACGTTATCTGTGAACCCAGGAGTTGCAAATCATGCTGGTTGAATAGTCGTATCTTTCTAACCTAACTAAAAAGTACACAGTGTTATATTTAAACATAGTTTTACTTACAAGGAATGTTTATCAAAGCTATTACAGGGTATGTTGGGATTGAAACTCTTTCAAGATTTATGATTGTGTATTTAGGATTGATTTCTGCCAGGAACAGATGGTATTGAAGCAGACAGCTGGCAAGTGATACAGCAGAAAACACCTATTAAATGATACTTGTAAGTGTGATCAAGAAATAATGAGAGTATTTTAAAGTGTTACTGCAAAATTTGGTTTTGAAGAGCAGATAGGTTAAAGAGTTTTGATGAAGGGTGAAGTTGCATTCATGCTTTTCCCGAAAATACTTCAAAGATTTTGGATCAGTAGATGTTGAACTGTTTGAAAGGCAGATTGTAGTTATATCCTAATATATACCCTTGGGGAAGCCGTGGTCAGGTTATGGTGGTCTTACTGGATATGTACGGGATAACACAGATCTGCCTTTAAGGCATCTATCTCCTTAAAACTCTGTAGTTGTATGTAGTTATTCTAAATCAATTGCAGAGATGGAACCCAAACCAGGAATAAATTGTTACATCTCAAAGGATACTTACTACTTCAAAAAGAGGTACACTTGAATGCTGCATCTTTAAATTAGTCATTGATTTGTCCATTGTAGAAGTTTTGATCCAGGAAGCAATCAGTGGAACAATTAAAACCCATGTTTTAGGTAAAATGAAACAAAGGTGACATTATCCTTGTTCTAGGTTAGGGGAGTTATGAAGAAGCTTGTAGCACCAATGTCCCTGTCACTTTATTCAAAATTTGGTTTTAATGGGGTCATATGGCTTTCTCCTAGGTATTTCTCATGTGGTAATCCTTATAAGAACTCCTGTGTAGATGAAATGTTTGAGAAACTTGAGAAATAGAAGTACTGTGAATAGAGGGAATATGTTTTTCATGTAACGCAACCCAAAGGCACATATAAATATGAAGTTGGGGTTTTTGTGACATAGAACTGCCATTTTGAAAACTTGATTCCTTAAGGACCAAGCCCTTTCATTGCTTTTTAGTTTGTTGACAGTGTTGACCAATATCTGAAATCAAACTTTGGAGTTTCTTATTAGGAATATAAATTTCTTTGCTATTTCTACTAGAATACCAACATTCTTTTTCAACTGTGTAACAACCTGTCTAATGAAATTATTGTGAAGTATTTCCTTAGTAACACTACAGCTGATTTGGAGTTGTAATAATCCCATTTGCCTTGCAGGTTTTTGAATTGAAAAATGAAGATGGCACAATGCTTGCTGTTCTGTGTTGTCAAATACTGCAGTAATACTGTGATTTGGAATTAAACAGTACCAACAGTGTTAAATTTTACATTCTTTGTAAAAGTGGATTTTATGTACAAACCCCTTTCTCACTTGAAATGTTTCTTTTAGTGTCATTTAAGTTTATGAAACTAAAGGAACAACCCTAGGGCCAGGGTTTATATTATTATATTTATATCAGTGCTGCAAGATGTCTGCTTCCAAAGTTGCTTGTTAAAACTGGAAGTTTGATTGGTGTTATTTACTGTAATACTTTATAAGCTGTAGTTCATATTTCCAGATGAAATTTGTTCATCAAATGATTACTGGTTCTTAATAAAAAGTAGTTGATCTGTATAGTAATACTTTAACAGCATTTAAAATACAGAACTCAGATTTCATTTATTAAAATTCAATAAAATGTAAGACTTCAGATGGAACAAAATCAGAATTTTCTTTTAACGGAAGACTTCATACTGATGAGAGCTTGCTGAATGCAGCATTTCTGGTTTTGTGAGAAGTTCTGAAAAGCAGGTTTTTAAATACTAAACAAAAAACTTGTTAAATTAAAAAAAAAAAAAGTTTAGAAGCATCAAAAATTTCCAGCTGTGAAGTTAGGGGGGGAAAAATGTCAGGGCTTCTGTCAAAGCACCCTCAACCTGCAGAATACTTGTGGTTGATAGAGACCCTGGGGTTTGAGATTGTTGAAATACCAGGCTCTGGAGTTGACCCAGAAGATGACAAGCCATAAGCATCCCAGCAGGGCTGACCTGGTGCTGTAGAGCAGGGAGGTCTCCCCCAGCCTCCTGCAGTTTTACTCCCTGCTGCAGAGCTGGGAGCTGGGCTTTGAGTATTTTCAAGCTGTCATCTTAAAAGCAGCAAAACTGAAATATTTGCATGGCTGTAAGCACACAACGTGGAAACATAGGAATGCTGGAGTGGAAATGTTGCCTGTGTTCGAGATGCTTGCATGTTTGTATATTGGTGGTTTAGGATGCTGAACAGTTTCTCTTAGTAGAGGTTGGATTTTTGGAGAAACGTGGCTCAAATTTATCAGAAGTTTCAGGAAAATATATTTAGGGGTTGGCATTTTTCTAGACAAACAGCAGCTCCCTTCTCACCACTATTTTACTGGAAGATTTCTGGTTATATCTGGTTATATCAGTTTGAGTACTTGCATGACTTATGTCACTGAGTTTGGGGAGGGGGGAACCAACCCAAACAAACCAACATCGTAACAAATGTAATGAAAATTTTGATAATAATGTGTTTTGCCCTTTAAGTGGGGAATGCAGTCTTTGCTTGTGTTCCTGAGTGAATACTGTCTCTACAGAAGGACGTACTTGTGGCCCATCTTATTTTCTCTAATTCTACAATGAAACTGCAGCAGTGTATTATCATACTCATTCTTCTGTGTTCCTTAATCTGTATGTTATAGGCTCTTTGGCATTATCAAATAGGCTTAAATGGGGTAGCAAAATGTTAGCTAGCTATGGGAGCTCTGATCTTCCAGACTGGAGGAATGAAAACTCCATTTCATTGCTGGCTGGTCTTTACTGCCTTTGGGCTGAGGAAGCAAGTTTAATATGTGTATTACTTTTTCTCTTGCGCTTCCTCTTTGTGTGTCTCTTTTTTTTTTTTTTTT